ACATATAAGGCAGTATAGCATCGGTGCTAGCACAATGGCTAACAGGCTAAGCTGAGGTTCTTCTTCCATGAAGCATCCTACAGTATTTTTACAGTCTTTATTTTACAGTTAAAATATAAGTTTATCACATAAAGCCTAATGTTACTATTAATCGTGGATCCCTTTAACCTTCAGATCCGCATGTCGAACAGACGCGAGTGCGGAGCTGAGAGGCTGTAAATTTTGGTGATAAATCTGCATCACAGTCAAGTTCAATTAAGCCCTCTAAGAGAGCTATATTTAGATGGTGATGGTTACCATGGCAACATACAGCACATCCCAATGACTAATCCAAAACAGAAGAAAAGAATGGGCTGTATCTGTGTAAAGCTTTTTACTAAGCAGACACCTGGCAAAGAATAAAACATAAATTCTGGCCTAAAGGTGAATAATATTTATCCAGCTGATGACCTGCATGTGTGATTTTTTTTTTAACGGGGATAACATAAATATTACTATTATCAGTCTTATTTAAGTTGCAGGAAACCATATTTAAAAAAAAAAACGAGCACTGAACTCCCATGAATCTTGTAACATCTGTGAGAATTGTCTGTCATTGTGATCAGGACTCACTCTGCGAGCTGCGGTGTTGCCAGACAGATCTGAGACGCGTGCTTTCCTCTGATTGGCCAGTTCCTTCAGTGAGTTCACTCCATCAGAGAACATCCCGATGAGCAGCTGAAGAGGCACGACGATGTCCAGCTCCGACAACACCTTCATCCCAACAGGATAACAGTTTGAATTATGCACAGAAGTTTTCACCTCACCTTACACAAACCCGCAAAGAGAATGAAAGTATTTTAGGTTCCATTTATGAAAAGTGAACACAATGATTTTGTTTTATTTTATAGAAATGAAGTCCAAACATTACTACTAATTACGCAACTTGAGAACCATGTTAAAATCTATTAGGCTGTAATATTAAAAAAGTAAATAAATCCGTATGATAAGGTAAGAAATGTGTCATTTTAGTTAAGTGTGTATTAAGTAGTTCTTTTCTTCTGATGTGAATTTGACCTGGTTCCTGATGGTTAAATTAAAGCAATCTCTTGATAAAAGTTGAGAAAACTTGCAGCTGAGCCACATAGGAGAARGCAAGCTGCGAGCACAAGCCAGATGAAAAGCAAAAATCCCTCCTATCTCTTTCCGTCTCATTCTGTGACCCAGATMGGTAGTCAGCAGGGCCCCAGACCAGACTCTCACTCTCTGCCACAACCTGCTCAGTTCACACGCTCTGCGGACAGAACCCCAGGAGGTGAAGAGAGCCCAGACCTTTGCGCGTTTGAGTGAGGTTTGTGCGAGCTTACGTGCAGCCACAGCAGAGCCTGCTCCTGCACAGACGCCGGGTAGCCAGAGAACCTGCAGCTGATGAAACCGAACATTTCCTCCATGGAGAAAGGCAGGGGGCACAGCTCGATATCAAACATCTTACTGCAGGGGGAGGACAGAATAATAAAAGAAAGAGCTAATGTAAACACATCATTCCTGTTTTCTCCTACTCTGACTCCTCCTCTTACTGATTGTCTCCACCGAAGATGATTTATTGTCTCAAAACACTTTATTTAATGGCTTTTGCGTTTTCTTGGACCTATCTATTCTGTTTAGTTTTGCTTATTTTTTTTATATTGTTCAGTAATGAAGATGAACTTACCTGAGCACCTCCCTAAACTCCTTGAGCTGGTTGTCGGGGACCTCAGTTCGAATTGCTTCGAGCCACTCAGGCATGAAACACTCCCACAGAGGTTGGCTGATGACATTATAAGGTATCAGACATAATATTCTGTTCAGACCCTCCTTCAGCTGCGTCACTGTGCTGCATGACTTGTCCCAATAACCTCCCACCTGTGGAAAAGAACATGTAATGTTCAAACAAAGCCCAGTCTTCCGTTTAATTATGGCTTTATGTTTAGTTCAATTAGGAATTGATGGTTTATTCATCCTCCTAAGCCGTTAAAGGGATCCCTGATTAGTTRTAACATTAGACTTTATTTGATAAACATATATTTTAATTGTAAAATAAAGACTGTAAAAATTCTGTAGGATGTTTAGTTTTGTGAATTTTTAAAAATTTATTTTAACACGGACGGAGCCAATTTATTTACACACAAAGCATTCTGGGTAAATGATGGCGTGGATAGGTCCTCGGTGTGAGCGAGCTATATCCACCCTGAAGGTTAATCTTGGACAATATCTGATGATTGTCTCTTTTAAATGAAACCAGAGAACGTTGACAGAGAGGAGAAGGTAAAAACGATTCAGTCTACAACTGAGAATATAGATGGAGGACAACAGAACTGCTTCATGGAAGAAGAACCTCAGCTTAGCCTG